GGGGCAGCACCCAATGTTTGGTCAGGGTGAAGCCTCAGAACCCGGAGTTCTTGCAGTTGGGCGTGCCCTGCCCTACTTGCTCAGGGCTCCTGGGATGGAGGCTCCTACTGTTTGGGGTCGAAATGGGAGTTTCCGGAAATTAGGGGTACCTGATTTTGAGGTCCTTAGAATAAGGATCCTACTATTTGGGGTGCGATATTGGGGTCCCCTATTTTCGGAATTCCCCAACTGAGGGTGCCCTGATTTGTTGAAGACCCGCCCCCCCATCCTAGGGAACCCTCTACTGTCCCCCTCGCTGAGCATGTTACCGCTAGGATGCTTGAGAAGGTCTGGCCAGGATTTCTTTGTAGATGTGGTTCCGGGGCTAATGTAGGGGCCTGAATAATTAGAATAGGGTTTGGGGGGCATAATTATAGTATAATATATACCCTAACCCCTATTCTAATTATAAGACGTAGTTGGTTAAGGATTTTGTTCATACGCAGGGTCGTTGCACATTCTCCCGTTACGTCGCACCCGAAACCCAGAACTCGATCCTAAACCCGCTAAACCCATCCTGGTTCCGAAACCCTGCGCCCGAAGCCCTGAGAAAATCCCTAAACCCTAAACCCTAAACCCTATACCCTAAACCCTAAACCCTAAACCCTAAACCCCTACCTGAAAAAACACCTCTGAGGATCTGGGCACTGCAAGGCATCGATGATGCCTTCTCAGCTCTTGAAAGACATTTTTCCGACGATCGGCTTCGGAAGCGCCGCTGGGCTGCAAGTGCGAAGATACGAGGATCCGTGAGGCCGTGGGTTGAGGCGTTTAGGGTTTAGGGTTTAAAGGGTGTAGAGTTTAGGATTTAGGGTTTAAAGGGTTCAGGGTTTAGGGTTTAGGGTTTTCCTGTGTGCCTTAAGAGGGGGTGAGGGTTGCATGGGCGCTGGCCGGCACTTCAGTCCGTGCAGAAAAGGGTTTTGAGTTTAGGGCGCGCAGGAACCCTAAACCCTGAACCCTATAGTTTAGGCTTGAGGGGCTGAGATGGTTCGATGGTTGTGGCGCAGGTTGTTCACTAAAACCTGGCGTTCTCCACGCGTCGACGGCTTCTGACGTGGGTCCAGTTGGGGTTATGAAGATAGAGGTCGTAAGGATTCGCAACAAGTATTCCGTTTTGTCCCCTTTACATTAGAAATGTAAGCGATCCGAAACCCTAAAACCCTAAAACCCTAAAGCCCTAAAACCTAAACCCTAAACCCTAAACCCTACTTTCACTTTTAAGGCCTCTACCTTTGGGTGCCTGGGGTCGCTGAGCCTGCCTTGCTGAGGTTTCGAAGATCTTCCCCGGCTGCCCGCTTCAAGAAGTTACGTGTAGTTTAGGGTTTAGGGTTTAGGGGGAGTTTTCGATGAGCGACGGGTGTGGCGAGGGAGACAGATTTCTCAATCTTGGTGTGTGGATGTGTGCTTTTTTGAAGGGGGGGGTGAGGATCCTTCTAGTAAGCCTGCGAGTACTCTTGGGCAGTTGTACATATGGGTAGTTGTCAAAATTATGGTCCCTTTTGGGGTACCCTAAATAATAGGTGCCGTATTATAATAAGGACCCAAAAAGGGACCATAATTTTGACAACCACCCATATGTTAGGATCCTGTGCTTCTCAACCTTCCCAAAGCATCCGACATCCTCCTAGACCCTCAACCAGGACCACCCAAGGGCCCTTTGATGGATTAATAGTGGGTATTTAGGGTATATCAGAGGGTAGGTGAACCCTAAACCCTAAACCCTAAACCCTAAACCGGGGTCTAGGAACTCTGAACCCCTGACGACGCTGCAAAGTCCAAAGTGGTTGTGGCGCGCGTTTGCATAATTGGGCCTTCTTAGACCCTAAATCCACTTACGTTCAACGTGTCGTTATTAGGGCTCTTTATTTGAAGCCTACTAGTTTGGGGTTACAGGGCCAGGGTTTCTTAATCAGGTTCCTACATTACCCTGTACTGGATTTCAGCCAATTCATGGCTCTGGAGATCTTGGGGTGTGGGCAATGAGGCTCTTCCGTAACCTACCAAATTGTAGGTTCTTATTATGAAACCCTGATATGGGATTTATAGGGACCCTGCAAAAAAATAGGTTCTGGTTGGTTGAGGTTTGTTTGAATTTGAAGCTGTAAACCCTTGACCGTATGCCTCAAGCCCAAAAGCAGCATCAAACCCTGTTTAAAACCGATATGCTCTAAACTCCCACACCATCTGCACCCCTTACCTAGTAGTAGAGTAGGTAACCTTTAACCTTTTTCGGGNNCTATATAAACCCAAAAGGTTAACCTTTAGTTCCCCATGATACCCGACAAGTCAGCTTAAATTTTGGGAGCTAAAGAACAAACCTCATACCCGAAAGTCTGGGCAGCCTTACGCCCTAAAAAAATACAAATTCGAGAGCCTGAAGCTGGATAATGTAGGGGTCTAAATAATTAGAATAGATTTTTTGGGGCCCATTATGCTATAAATATACTAAGGAACCCCCCTAAACCCTAAAACCCTCAACCCCAAAACTAATATAGGTCATTCCCCGAAACCCTAAACCCTAAACCGCATTATTCAGGCCCCTACAGTACCCTTTATCTCAAGACCCGGGAGAGAGCCTCAAAGCAAGCCGACCTGCAAGGCGCTGGTTCCTGAGGTTTCAGGGTCTTGCTGTTTTAGGGTTTAGGGTTTAGTTTATATATATATATATATATCTATATATATATATATATGTATATAGAGATATATATATATATCTATATATATATATATATACATATATATATATATATGGGAGTTTCCGAAATTAATGGGTTACTTTATTTTGGGGGTCCTTGCAATAAGGATCCTACTATGTCTAGGGTACTCTATTAGGGGTTTAGCGGTTTAGGGATATTGCAAGGGACGCAACCGAAGGGCTTGACGGTTACGCGCGCCCAGGAGTTCCCACGAGCATTTGACCGTCCTGGGGGATTTAGGGATTAGGATTTATGGTTTAGGGTTGGGGGGTTTAGGGCTAGAGTGTCTTTTTTTACGGAACTGAGATGTGATACATGCTTATTTCCTTAGCGCACGCTTACCCTTATTATACGCCCTCCTAATGTTTGCGAATTTCAACTAGTGTCCTGTTTAGGTCTTCGCAAATCGAGGAATTCAAAGACCCACCAGGCCTTGCTCAAAAGATGTTTGTCAGCCAGGACTCGGCTATCTCTTGAGCCCTAGGGGATGTTGGCTCTGGGGTCTGCGCACGTGCAGGTGCAAAGCGTGTGTCATTGGCAAGGGTTGACAACCTGCAAGCCACAGGGTCTATGGAAGACAAAACCCGGGTCCGCAACAGCCTAGTGGCCCGTAAAACTCCTAGTTGAACAATCAGCAAAAGCCGCTAGCAGGGGCCCTTGCAATGCTGGATGCCACCTCACATCCCCGCTGCCTAGAGCTTCAGCCCTGATTCACACAGCCTCCACCGAGGCTAGCCGAAATTTTGCACAAGGCTTTGAATTCAATTCGCTCTGCGGTGGGCCCACAGCTGCTGAGCTGCACATCTTTGATTCAGGTTTCAGATGACGGGAGACACGAATTTCGAATGTCGCAGTAAGTGCTTTGGTTGGATGATGCACGAAAAGAGTTGATCCCACACCGTCAAACTTTGGCTTATGTAGGGGCCTAATATACCTATTCTATTTTGGGGTTCCTTATTATGATTTTACTATAAAGGAGCCCAAAACCCCTAATCTTAATTTTTTAAGGCCCCTACATCATGTGCTTCGGCCTCTGAAGCTAGACACAAGCGCTTCACGAGCGGAGAGGCTTCAAGCCTGCGCCTTCAACTTAAATCCCAAACCCCAAACCCAACTGTGAGGGGCTCAGCGGTTTAGGGTTTAGGGTTTAGGGTTTAGCTGACGTTTAGTGCAGATTTTGGAGTTATCAAGGTTTTCCTTTCGGGATGTCTTTTTGGCATTCCGTGAGACTGCAACTGCTTCGGCTTGTTATGGTAGGTTTAGGGCGTAGGGGTTTAGGGTTTACATGGGGCTTAGGATTTAGGGTTTAGGGCATTTAGTAAGTGTACAGTACACTCCACAGCTCTCCGTGCTTGTAATGGCTGTACGAGTATGACGGGTCGCATTTGCATCCTTATATGGGTGGTTGTCAAAATTAGGGTCCCTTGTTGGTTCCTTATTATAATACGGCACCTATTATTCAGGTACCCCAAAAGGGACCATAATTTTGACAACTACCCATATAGCAACCTTGGACCGAGCACGTTTCAACCAAGCTGACTCACAACCAAGAACGCCAAGCTGCAGAAACGATCTCGGAAGCATTTGCATGCCCAGCTCCTTCGTGCGTTAAAGACCTTATCTACATATGCGGGTTTCCGAAAATAGGGGGCCCTAATATACTACCCTACATGGTAGGATCCTTGTTATAAGCACCCCCAAAATAAGTAACCCCTTTTTTTTCGGAAAGTCCCACATTGGGCTGGGAGAAACCACCCAGCCCCACTAGGGCACGCGCCCGAAGCGTGTATCCTGCTGTCAGGTTAGTCTGTGCCTCTTATTCCGCCGATGATGCAGCCGCCCCTTGGCACAACAGTTGCTGGAAGCGAGTACCCAGAGACTCCAATATCCCTTAATTGCGGAATATTCCTTAAATTATAGTAGGGTCCTTAATATGACTTAAGGTATATTCCTTAATTAAGGAAAATTGGAGTCTCTGGGTAATCATGGATCTGACTTCTCAAGACAGTGAAGAGTCTGGAGGTTTGTCACGGGGCCCCTGGATTCAAACTGGAAAGGCTTCTTCTAACTCTTGCGATGCTCAAAGCCCGGGTCCTCTCCCGTGTGTCGACAAACGTCGACATGCATGGCCTCATTCATGTTGTTTTCCGTGCATTCGTTGTGGACACCTTCGGCGAAGTGGCGTGGAAGGAGATCTTGAAGCGAGCCGGCGTCGAAGATGAGGCGACGATTCTGGAGATGAAGCCTTACGATGATGCTCTCACCATGGCGGCTGTCAAGATCGGCGCAGAAGTGGCAGGAGCACCGTTGGAGGCGGCACTCGAGCTGTTCGGCGCGTACTTCGTCGACTTTGCGGCTGGTGCTGGCTTCATTCGGCTGCTTCGCTCGCTTGGCTCCAACCTGCATGAGATGCTCAGCAACCTGAACATCCTGCACCACAACGTCGAAAGGGATCTGCCGGCGGCTGTTTTTCCTATCTTCGAGGTCGGCCGACTGGAATGGCTAAGTGACACGGTGTACACCTTCAGGATGCACCTTGGTGTTCTGCTGGTTGGCTCTTAGGACTTTAACTTTTTGGGTTTCTAGATGAACCATAATAAGGAGGCTAACAGTTTAACTTTTTGGAGGGGTTCAGAAGTCAGCCAAGGCACTATGCGAGTAGCAGGGCCGGCCTCAATCCGCTCTTGAAAGGTGCCCTGGAGCAAGCCACGAGGAAACTCTTCCATTCCACCTTGGAGGTGGGTAGTTCTCTAAATTGGGGTTCCGTGTACGGCACCCTTATCTGTCTGGTGCTTAGTAGGGAATGGGGGAATGGATCCCTATGATAGCCCCTTAAGGTCCCATATAGTAGTCCCTATGACCCATACCCCCATTCCCTACTAAGCACCAGACAGTTATAAAAAGTACCCTAACCCCTAAACCCTAATTTTGAGAATTACGCAGGTCCAGGCCTTGGCAACGGAGAGGCATAGCTTCAGATTCTGGGCTTTGGAATACCATACTTTAATGCTTCTTTTTATTGGGGGGGGATCTATGGTTCCTTAAAGGAATACCATATTTTAATAATACTTTTTGGGGGGATCGATGGTTCCTTAAAGGAACCATTATGACATAGAAGTCTATACTTTTTTCTCCCTGGTTACTTCAAAGCCCAGGATTAACTCCAATGGCCGAGGCATCAAACGAGGTGAATTGGACCTTGATTGTCAGCCTGGGACAGGAGAAGGAAGACCACGAGGTGCCTACCGACCCGCCAGCCTCAGCATCAGCTGGGCCCGATATAGGCTCCGCGTCGTACGGCTTCTTCGATTTCCATGCCGCCTTGGCCTCTTTCTGGTGCTGCAACACCGATTTGGAGCGGGACCAGGCCCAGGGCATGACCTACCTCGCGGCTACACCTGCTTTGGAGGAGACTTGGGCAACGAGCCGGCACTTTAGGAAACTGTTGATTTTCCTCTAGCTGCTTTGTCTCCTAGGCAGGTACCTACTCATAGATACTACGGGCGGCCAGAGAGAAACGACCCAGGTAAGCAACGTGCGTAGAGTCTTGGCTGAGAAGCGCAGCAAGGTTGACAGGATCACGGAGGACTGGGGACAGACTCGTGTCCTGAACCTAGGTGGGGGGGAGGGGTTTCTCAAAGGAGCTAGACAAAAAATGCACCAAAACTGCCTAAACCCGAAGCCCTAAACCCTAAACCCTTATCCCAACCAGCCAACCTAAACAGGACTGCCCGACGCCTTCGGGTGGACGGCACCTTTCCTTCTCACTCAGCGCGGTGGACCGTGTCCACATCGCTGCCCACCTTTTCAGGGCCTGCTCCGCCGAACTCGTCTCCTCCCCATGGACCGCTTCTGAGCAGCTGTTGGTTTAGGGTTTAGGGGTTTAGGGTTTAGGGGTTTGGTTTAGGGTTTAGGGTTTAGGCTGCCGATTCCCAGCTGATGCAGGATTTGAGTCTGGGTTCAGAAGGGTTTAGGGTCTATTTTCGGGCTTAGGGCTTATAGGGGCCAGTTTCAGCACGGGAGCTATATTTTAGGGGCAAAGCGCGTGACTTGTCACTCTTACAGTGCCTGCAAGAACATCTCAGGATCTGCAGGAGCTGAGCAAGACAGAAAAGTTCTGGGGCTCCTACACCAAGCTGGACAATTTCTACGCCATCTCCGATGACTGGTTGGTGGAGACGGTGAGGGCCGGGGAGACGAAGTTCGTGAAGCGCGGGAAGATTCGCTTCCTGTCCCAGTCCTGGGGAATTCCGAAGGAGTGGGACGAGCTGATGGGGGCCGGAAGCTACGCGGAGGCCAAAGCGGCGGAGATCTGCTGCATGGCAAAGGACATCGCCGCCTTGGAGTTGGGAGACACCGCGAGGTGGGAGCGTCCGAAAATAAGGGGTGCCTTGTTTTGGGGGGGGGTCCTTATAAAAAGGAACCTACATTAGGGTACCTTATTTTGGGGGGTCCTCATAAAAAGGATCCTACCTACTAGGGCTAGGGTGCTCTATTAGGGTCCCCTCTTTTCGGAAACCCCCAGGTGGCGAGAGGTGTACTTCTGGGTGGACAAGTGTTGCATTCCGCAGGGTGACAAGGAGCTGACTGGGTGGTGTGTCAACCTCCTAGAGGAGTACATCATCTTCTGCGACGGGCTTGTGGTGTTGGTCCCATGGACATACTTTACGAGGCTTTGGTGTGTCTATGAATGGGTTTGCTTCCTGCTCGTGCACGACCCCGTGGACATTGAGATTTGCGCAGACCCCTTCGTGCGGGAGAGCACGCTTCCGCTCTTCATCGAGGCGATTGGCAACTTCAAGCTCGCTTCTTGCCAGTGCTTCCGCGAGGAGGACAGGCCCGTACTGATCAACAAGGTCTCACAGTACTACAAGTCCGTTGAAGGCTTCGAGCAGTTTTTGAAGTTCACCGCCATTGCTCTTTTTGTGCGGTGTACCGCCCAGCGTCGGTCAGCAAAATGCTTCTCCGCTCTTGAGCCTTGGCGTCATCTCGCGGAGCGACAAGGCTTCTGCGACTTGGCAGGGAAGGTGGAAGATGTGATGACTCGTCTACCCCAGTGGCGTGAGGACGCGGTGAAGAACGCGAAGGGCGGTGGCACCCGCGACGTGCAAACGGATGTCTTCAAGCATGTTGAGGCTTGGTTTAAGGCCGAGATGGTCCCATTGATCCTCGACAAGCGGAAGGACCCCCTAAACCCTATACCCTAAACCCTAAACCGTCCTGGAGTGTCCCAGTGTGAGAGCCGAAACCCCTGACCAAAGCCGTGTTGGGTCGATGGAGTACACGTTCAGCAAAGACCCGAAATCCTGCTGGCCGTAACGGCCTTCTTCCGTCTCCAAGAATCCCGACAACCGACCCCTTCAGAACAAATCTACTAGGGTCTAGGGTTTCGGTTTTAGAGGTTAGGGGTTTGGGGCTTAGGCTATTACATTAAACTTGCTGAATACCCTCAACCCTGACTTCGTTAAGGCCTCTCTATGATTGTGTTCAAGGTTTTTGGTTTGGGTGCAACGGTCAATTTCGGGTCCGGCCCAATCCTCACATCCTAAGCCTAAGCCGCACCCGAGAATAGGGGCTTCATTACGCAGAATAGGTTTGGAGGTATGCTACAGTAAAAGGGACAATAAGGGGATCTGAAACCAAATGTTCCGACCTCTATATGGACTAAGCCGGAAGGAGGTGGCGACGGAGAGTGGTCTGCGTTTCATCGAGGAGCTACGCCATGCGGCCAAAGCCGTTGTTGTGGACCAGGCAGAAGATCGACCAGAAGTCACGATAGAAGAGATACGAGTTTGACGGCAACATAACAACACAAGGTTTTGCTCGGGTGCTTTCGCACCTGATCTGAGGTTCGTCTGGGTCACAGAGCGTCTGCAATGTGGCCCCTTTGCAACGCTACTTCGTTGATGTTCTAAACCATCCAGAGACTCCAAAACCCGTTAATTAAGGAATAGATCATATTAAGGATCCTACTATAATTTAAGGAATATTCCTTAGTTATGGAATATTGGAGTCTCTGGGCCTAACACCCTCGGCCTGACTGATCAGCCGCTTGTTTCCTTGAGCTTCCCCTATACATGTTTATTACAACGACTTCCCGAACTTCACAGCCCTAGTCTCACTAATTATGTTGAAGTTACCTTGTGAATCTGGCGGGGAGAGTCAGTGGTTGAAAGACGCTCTAGAGTGTAGACATTGAACTTTCAGGTGGAAATCCAGCAGCGTGAAGGCTGTATGGGTGCTAACCTGAGGGGATTTTTGAATGCTTATAAGTCTTCGTTAAGTGCACGAGATTCCGCCGAAACGCCACGTGGTAGTCTCAGCTGGATTTAGATCTTAGGTGCCTTTTTGTTTGTGCATGCCGGCGAAGCCGTTGCAACGACCAGCTTCCGTTCGCGGAGTCGAGATGAAGTGTATGCTTAGCATGGCCGAGATGTGCTTGAACCGCCTACCACCACCAAACCATTCCACGTACTACAGCAGGAGACTACCAAGAGAGCAAGAGACCACAGGGAGACCGCCACGACAGCAGGAGACCACCAAGACCAGGAGAACACTAAAAGGAGACTGCCAGCACGCCATGCGGTGGACACCCGAAGATCATCCCCAGACCATGACGACAGCGGCCAGGAGGCCACCAGGAGACCACCAAGAGATCGCTAGGAGACCAAGGATTGTCGTGCGCACACCGCGAGCGGACTTCAATCGAGTGTTTTTTGCGCTTCACGCAAGAACTCCACAGTCTTGCCACTTTGTTGTTTGGGGAAAGAGTCTACACCCGATACAGTTCAAGTCATATGGTGGTTAAGCTGTCGACCCCACATTAAGTCTTGCAGCATGTCATGTAACTTTGCGCTGAACTTGGATTCATGCTCGCAGTGGCTTCAGACTCTCGTAGCGAAGCTTCTTTGTCCGGTTGCGCATCGACAGCGTCGACATGCACGGGCTCATTCATGTTGTTTTCCGTGGATTCGTTGTGGACACATTTGGCGAAGTGGCATGGAAGGAGATCTTGAAGCGAGCCGGCGTCGAAGATGAGGCGACGATTCTGTAGATGAAGCACTACGATGATGCTCTCACCATGGCGGCTGTCAAGATCGGCGCAGAAGCGGCAGGAGCACCGTTGGAGGCGGCACTCGAGCTGTTCGGCGCGTACTTCGTCGACTTTGCGGCTGGTGCTGGCTTCATTCGGCTGCTTCGTTCGCTTGGCTCGAACCTGCACGAAACGCTTGGCAACCTGAACCTTAACTCTATAAAAACGATTTGTTGGAGGTCCATTCTTATCATTCCCGTATGCAATCCCATCAAGAGGTAGTTTGATTGGGGTTTAAGGAACATCTTGCACCACAACGTTGAGAGGGATCTGCCGGCGGCAATTTTCCCTATCTTCGAGGTCGGCAGCTTGGAATGGATCAATGACCAGAGACTAGGCAGTTGTTTAGCAGATGGTTCTGGTGTGGTAGACATAGTCCTAAAATTCAAAAAAGGGCAAGTATAGCATGGTTTAAAAACGTGCATCTGCTCGAAGAAGAACGCAGGAAATACACCTTCAAGATGCACTATGCAAGCAGCAGAGGTGGACTAGGCCCTCTCTTGAAAGGTGCTCTCCAGCAAGCCACGAAGAAGCTCTTCAACTCCAGCTTAGAGATCCAAGAAATTTCGATGGGTCAGGAGAGTTTCCGAATCTCGATGGCGGAGGCAGCTAATGAGATTCATTGGACCTTGACTGTGAGCCCGGGACTCTTAGTTCTCCAATAGCCAACCTTTAAACTTTCCGGGTTATACAATGTAGTAGTAACCGTGAAGTTTAACCTTTGATTTCCCTGGCTTCTTGGGGAAGTCAGGACTGGAGAAAAAGTAAGACAGTGAGAAGCAGGTTAAGGCACCGACATCAGCCACGACGAAGAGCTCCACTTACAGCTTCTTTGACTTTCACACCGCCTTAGCCTCGTTTTGGTGTTGCAACACGGACCACGACGAGGAAATGATCACGCTTACAGCTGCACCAACTCTGGCGGAGGATGACTGGGTGAGCAATGTGCGCGCGGTCTTGGCAGAAAAGCACAGGCAGATAGACTCGATCACCAAGGACTAAACCCTGAACCCTAAACCCTGAACCCTAAACTCTGAACCCTAAACCCTGAACACTAAACCCTAAACCCTAAACCCTAAACCCTGAACCCTAAACCCTGAACCCTAAACCCTGAACCCTAAACCCTGAGCCCTAATCTCTATTTTATAAAGAAACCCCTAATCCGACTAGGGGTCACCCCTAAATCCGTGAACCGGCTCTTGGACGGGGACTTGCGTTTGCATGGTTCTGTTCATGCCTGAACGCTTGAACACGGTTTTAGGAGTATGACATACTTCCACAATCTTATAAACTTCGTTCGGACCCACTTTTACTGTACGTCCGGTTTGTCTGAGTTTTGATATGGCATCCAGTACGACTACCCGAGACGATTCCAAGACAGTCTGTTCCGAATTTCACTGCGAATTTGATCTGCTTGGGGTTGGGGACGGGGACAGAATTTTCTGGGCGGCAGAGCCCTTGACTTGGACCTGCATGCTGACTCAATGCGATTTTTGATGCAGGGGCTGGAAGGTGCGGGCCAAAAGGGGGTACGTTGTGCGTTTGGGAAGGGCATGCTTCTTTGCATGATTGCATCCAAGCTCGTCCCCAGTTCCGTTGGGAAGATAAGACTGTCGGCACATGTCAGCACCACTGGCCAGAGGAAAAGACTGCATTCCAGACATGTGGTTGTCAAACTTATGGTCCCTTTTGGGGTACCCTAAATAATAGGTGCCGTATTATAATAAGGACCCCAAAAAGGGACCATAATTTTGACAACCACCCGTATTCAGGTCCTAGAAATTTACTGCGCGACCAGATGGAAGAAGCGCGGCGTCGCCAGTCGGAACAAACCCGAACTGAAGTCGCACATGGGAATAATCCCAAAACTCCAGCCCTAAACCCTAAGGTACCATAAACTTAAAACCTGAACGGGGTATTATGATAGGACCTCCGACCACCTTCGGATGGACGGCACCTTTACTTCTCACTCAACGCAGAGGACCGCATCCGCCTTAGCTGTTCCTTTTTAGTACCACAATGGTTTCGGGACTAAGGGTTCAGGGCATCTGGGCCCGATGGGTTTAGCATTGGTGCTTTAGGGTTTAGGGTTGAGGGTGTAGGGCCTAAGGTACATGCCACATATTATTATCATAAGAACCCACCTTGTGCTTGCTGCAAAGGGGCACTTAGGCATCCGCATCGCGTGCTACCTCTTCCGGGCTTGCTCGGCTGATCTCGTCTCTTCGCCTTGGACCGAGCCTGGGCCTTTCTGGAACGGTTTAGGGTTTAGGGTTTAGGGTTTAGGAGGAGGGCAAACCGGCCAAACTTTGCGGGAATATCTAAGCTATTTGAACACGGAAAGTTTTTGAGGTGGTCTTTATGAGCTGGGCAACGAAGAGGCTGTACCTAATTTACAAAGCTCAGCAAGACAGCAGCCAAGGACTTGAAAGAGCTGACCAAGACGGAGGTGTTCTGGGGTGCTTACACCAAGCTGGACAATTTCTATGCCATCTCCCATGACTGGTTGGTGGAGACGGTGAGGGCCGGGGAGAAGAAGTTCGTGAAGCGCGGGAAGATTCGCTTCCTGTCCCAGTCCTGGGGAATTCCGAAGGAGTGGGACGAGCTGATGGGGGCGGGAAGCTATGCGGAGGCCAAGGCAGCGGAAATCTGTTGCATAGCCAAGGATTACGCTTCATTAGAGCTGGGAGACTCCAAGAAGTGGAAGGAGGTGTACTTCTGGGTGGATAAGTGTTGCATTCCGCAGGGTGATCAGGAGCTGACTGGATGGTGTGTCAACCTCCTAGAAGAGTACATCATCTTCTGCGACGGGCTTGTGGTGTTGGTCCCATGGACATACTTTACGAGGCTTTGGTGTGTCTATGAATGGGTTTGCTTCCTGCTAGTGCACGACCCCGTGGACATTGAGATTTGCGCAGACCCCTTCGTGCGGGAGAGCACGCTTCCGCTCTTCATCGAGGCGATTGGCAACTTCAAGCTCGCTTCTTGCCAGTGCTTCCGGGAGGCAGACAGGCCCGTTCTTATCAACAAGGTCGCATGGTACTACAAGTCGGTTGAAGGCTTCGAGCAGTTTTTGAAGTTCACGGCCATTGCCCTCTTCGTGCGCTGTACCGCGCAACGTCGGTCAGCAAAGTCCTTCTCCGCTCTTGAGCCCTGGCGTCATCTCGCGGAGCGACAAGGCTTCCGCGACTTAGCAGGGAAGGTGCAAGATGTGATGAGCCTTCTACCCCAGTGGCGTGAGGATGCGGTGAAGAACGCGACGGGCGGTGGCACCCGCGACGTGCAAACGGATGTCTTCAAGCATGTTGAGGCTTGGTTTAAGGCCGAGATGGTCCCGCTGATCCTCAGCAAGCGGAAGGACCTGAATCCCTTCGATCCCGCAACACGGAAAACCCGTATACTGTATACTCCTGAACCCGAAAAGCCTTGAATCCCACTCCTCAGTCTAAACCTGCAAGACCCCAGGCGGCGAATCATCTGAATGCACAGCCGGCATGGTCAGCCCGAAGTCTATAGCACAGTGGGTCAATATTATTCCTCATGGTTTCTTACATGTCGTTACAGCATAATACACACACCAAGCCCTATGCTTACTCCTAAGGTGAAGGCTCTTGGGTTTAGGGTTTCGGTGTTTGGCCCTTTAATATCTGAACCCCCAAGCTGCTTTTAACGCCATGCTTTGCGCCCCAGACCTGAGAAAGTAGGTACATATGTATATGCATGCATTGCATGTAATGTATGTGTGTATGTATGAGTATACGTATTCAGCAAGCAACAACGGCAACGCCATCAACAACAACACCACGAACAACAGCAGCAGCAACAACGACAGCAACAACAACACCAGCATCCCCACCACCACCACCACCACCACCACCACCACCACCACCAACGACAACAACAGGAACACCACCACGACCACCACCACCAACAGCAACAACAACAACAACAACGACAACGACAACGGCAGCGACGACAACTACAGCAACGATAACCACAACCACAGCCACAACCACAACAACAACGTTGGCAACAACAACAGCAACGGCAACACTAGCAGCAGGAGCAGCAACAGCAGCATCAACACTAATGATGATACTCGTATAGTATGACTATGCGTTGCTATTACTGTTATCATTATTACCACCACCACCACTACTACTA